GTTATTCCTGAAGATTTCACATGGCACCAAAAGAAGAAGTTCCTCCGTGATGCTACCTACTATGTATGGGATGACCCTCACTTGTTCAAGATTGGTTCAGACGGCTTATTGAGGAGGTGCGTCTCAAGAGAGGAGGCCAAGAGTATTTTGTGGCACTGTCACAACTCTCCTTATGGAGGGCACTTCAATGGAGAAAGAACAGCTGCCAAGGTGCTTCAAGCTGGATTTTACTGGCCGACACTCTTCAAAGTTGTGATACCGAGCTCGAGCTCGGCATGACAGTACGGATAATACATGTTACATTTATTTGTTTGTTTAATAGTAAAAATCTTTGATTTATAATTAATATTCAAAAAATATTTCTAAAAATATTTATTATCAAACAAACAATTTTTTATAATCATCAAGTATAATATTTATATATATAGAAAGAGGAAGCAAACGTATCAGGTAAGAAGATATTTTATTGTAAGTGATGAGAGGTAATATAATCTTTAAATTAATTTAATAAATCAGATTAAAACTTCTTGTTGAAGTTAAAGTTTCTGAAGTATCATGTCGCGTTGTTCTTTTCTTTTCTGTGTTTGTATTGTATCAGCATATAAGAAATCCCAACCCCCACTTTCCAAAATGATAGTTAATTAGGGTAATGATAGTTAATTAGGCTAATTAATTAAGGTTGCATATAAATTATTCATAACCTCCAGGTGCGCAAAGGTCATGTAGTAGATGATAATAATATATACCAGCCCCGTCACACATTCTAATTAATATGTTCACAATCATCTTGAGAAAAAATGGGGTTTCGCTCACATTGGAGAAAAAATGGATGTATTATTTTTTTTTAATATATTTAATGTAAAAATAAGTTAATTAACAAAGACGTTTCAAAGACACTCACAGTAAAAGAAATCATATTGGAAGAGATTTATCAAATTAAGAATAAAAAATATCATAATCTTCATATTTAGCAATTCTTTTATATGTATTTTCTTAGCATAAAAAATAATTATTTTTTAAAACTAGTATTTTATTTGTCATTGTTAATATTATTTATCATGTAATAAATTTTTGCCCTCCTATTAAATTTTTTCTAGTTGGGTCCCTTTCCTAATGTATTATGTAATGGTCGTCGGTTCAAATTGTCATGTTTAGATGTTCTTGTATAGAGGGCTACGTGCATGTTACTATTTTATGTTCATATGCAACAAAAATTGGCCTGTCACAATCTACAACAATATATCTCTAATAGCATATGAACATAAAATAGTAACATGGATGGACCCTTTTATGTGGAAAAATCCTTTCACACAACGACCAAATTAGTAAACACTCCTGTAAGAAACTTTGAATCATTAATGCATGTTTTAGAAAAACACTGAATCAAGCCTTGCTTGCTTGACCTTCCCAAGTCATCGAAAGTGGAACCTACGTGCTAAGCAGGACGAACCAACTCTTCTTGAATCAATTTTAAATATTCAAAGCATTTAAATGGACATTTTTAATATTATTTTTTAATTAAAAATACAATTTATTTATTTATTGAACCTACTGACCAAGTATTTTTATATTCATCTTAAATCAAAATTAAATTTTTATCTTGATAATTTATATATATCGATCATTAATGATAAATTTTTTCTTCTTAATTTGTCGAAAATAATTCTTATTAAAACTCATTAACACAAATGATACGAAACTTGTGTATTTTAATTAATAACAAAAGTTCAATTCTCAAATTACGCATTGAATTGTGAGTAGTGGTGTCATTTTATTTGTAAATAAATCGTTATAGTAAAATAAAATTATACCTCCTTTTTATACTTTTAATATTTTATATAATCCTATAATTTATTCTAAATCATTTTTATTCTCTTATTATTTTTCTTTATAATTTTTATTTCTTTTATTTACTCTCGTATACAAAATCCGTCTATTTACTTTTCAATCTTTATATAAAAGTTAATTAACTTTTGTTCTGTTCTCACTGGTCCCTCCTATCACTCGTGCTTTCATGCACATAAAAAAGAAAGGAATGTATTTATTTCACGACTTCAATAAACACAATTTACAAATTCACTAAAACATCTACTAACACTAATCGCCACGATGTCACCGCCAATGGCGCCACCCATCGCGGCGCATCTCGCGGTCTTCACCCTTCTCGTCACCGTCTCCGCCGCCGCAACCGGATACCACAACCACACGGTCGGCGGCGCCGCCGGGGGGTCCTTCGACTCCGCCACCAACGCAACCGCCACGAACTACTCCTCTTGGGCCTCAAATCAAACCTTCGACCTCGGCGATTATCTCAGTAAGCTCAATCACTTTTTTTTCTCTTCTCAATTAATTTTCATTACATTATTATCGTTATCGTCACTATTCCGCTTTGCACAACACGACGTCGTTTAACACCGTTAAGTTACCCTATTCTGTTGCCGCGAAAACAAACGCTTAATGAAAATCAACATGAAATTGGAATCATTCTCCATTTCATTCACTTTTCTGATTTCTTAACTCTGTCATAAACCAAACGCCAAAATCTAATTCAATTTTCGGTGTTTTTTTTTTCTTTTTTCGTTTTACTATTTTTTCTTCTGATTCTTAGTTTTCAACACGAATTCGAACCAAACGGTGGTTCAGACTTACAATAAGACAACCTATCTGAACTGCACCGCCGACGAAACCGACAACGGAACCTTCGTGTACGGCGGCGG